AAAATAGAGTTTTAATACAAAAATTAAAAAGAAGCAATAAAAAAATCGTACCAAACGAAGCCTACATAAATTGTTTACAAGAGAAGTCATAAGGGATACGAAGGAAGCAAACAGTTCCGATCTTTGAGCTATCGTAGCACCAAAAAATAGTTGGGGGAAATATACTTAAAATTTTCTTTCGGATCAAAATACCCTCGCACTTTTGACACTGGTATTTGAAAAAAGTTTGAACAAAGTTATACCAATGTTGGGTCCATATTCAAACATAGTTTGAATCATATTTGAATCTTGTTCAAATGTTATTCAATCATTCTTGGAACTCAATTCAATTCCAACATGAATTAATATAGGTTCAAAAATCTTTGAACATAAACTATAACTCAGCACACTACAAAGTTAATATACCAGAGTGAGTGCAATCAAAATAATAGATTAGAAGAGATAAAATAATAGTTATAACATAACACAATGCATTTTAAGAGTGTGATTCAACTGTGCAATTCCAAAGCTATATAACAAAATCTATAATACAACAAATGTAATTGACTTATTCCAGATCTGTGGAGACTACTGATCTGCAATACTTATCAAATGATTTGTCCAACGTAACTATGATAGAGCCATAGGACTTAAGTATCTCTAGATGTGCTCAATTATTTGACAACATCAAGCAGCAATATGCTGCAAAAAATATAAATTAAAATTGCTGTAAAGAACATCCAATTTTTCATACTTTCAGAAGACATTTCTCCCCTTATTATATAACCATGCTGTTGGAATATCAATTATTAGAATCACATGCAGTTGAAATGAAGATGATCATGATGCATTCAATGAGGCAAAATCTAGTACAGACCTCTAAGACCATAAGAATATCTTGCTTCAAGCAAACATTGCCAACTAATCTAATTACAGCATCAAAAACCCTGCAGCTCACATCAAGGAAACACATGAGCATAGTATAAGCAACGGCAAAAGGTGTCATCATCTACAGAAGCAAGATAGCAATATCATATATAAATAAGTCATAAAACAGCTACCTGTCAATCATCGCAACCCCACATTGCTGGTTTATTTTCAATATCATTAGTGATATTCCCAAGAATCTGCATTATGCAGCACAATTGTTATGTACAAGCTACTCATTGGTATGTAAGTTTTTCATAAGTGTAGGAAAAACAAATATTTTGAAACCAAATCTATCATGCTATTTTCGAATTGAAGGAACAAGTAAAATTCACCTGCCAAAGAGAATAAAAACATTTCTAATGGGGCTGAAGTGCTTTTCTGTTCCACCTAATGCCACTCTTAAACTTTCACTATCCAACGGCTTAATATGAACCAAAATGCAAATTAGCATTTCAGAAAAAATTAAGAAAAAATCAATGTTTTGAGAATTGTCTGATGAGTTGTGCTGCAAGTTTTTGTTTTCATCAAGCACCTTGATTAATAGTTCACATAGACCATTTGAGAAATCATTCTCGGAGGACTGAATACATGCATTTGATTCATGGTTTAAATGATCAAAAAGGTTATTCCACACTTCTACCAGGGCTTCCAGGAGAAGACCTCTTTGTGAAGAGATCAAACATAAACTTGAGCAATCACCATCCATACTTTTAGTACAAAAAAGTACAAAGGGGTAGCAAATGAAACAATAAAGAACAGTGTATAAAGTGTCAGGTCCGTCTACTCTCAAGACCGAAATATCAAAAACCCCGTCTGTGTTCTTCATTAGGCTCTTTGCAATGATTCTCCACATCACCAAAGAGCTCATCTTTGCATTGAGTGGTTTGCTTAGGTGAACATAGAGGAAACAAACTGCAGCAAGTAAATTGACTGAAGGATTCAAAGAGAAAAGAAACTTCTGCTGAATTGCAATTGGAATACCATCCATCTCTGAGAGATGTAGAATAAATTGAGCCAGCACACACAAAAGCAAAAACTCAGTATAGATCATTGGAGATACCACGTCCATATAACCCATTAAACCTTCACTCATAGCCTGAACAAAAGGACAGCAAGTAACTTCAGATGATTTCCCATCTTTGATGTACATGAGGTCTAAGGTAAACTGATAAAGAGGAGATGCTAGCAAAAAACCCATTTCTTCTCTGACAACTATTACAGACTGAAAAGCCATCCATAGCAAATCATGAGAGTGATTCCAATCATTTCTTGAAGATATGTCCTCACAAAGTTCTTTAAGGAACTTTATAATAGTGTTTAAGCATAACTGGATGACATCACAAGGAATATTAGACCATTTAGTTTCTGCTTTAACCCCTTGTATGACAGATTTGAAGATTCTCAGGGCAGAGCTGAGAGCAAATGTTCTGATTTCAGGGTCTATTTGTGTTGTCAGACTGTGATTAATAATAGTTCTAATTATCATTAGAGGAAAATCTAAATCGCTAAACTTCAATGGCAACCATTTAATGGAATTGATCCATGTAAATCTACTAGCGAAAGAAGATACGGGAATGCCATTTTCATTCATAAAACCGCAAGGGCACCCTGCAGGAACTAAATCCATCCCCTTGGAGTTGGTTATTCCAGAGATATATTGATCAAACAAATCAAGGCATGGTTTCCACAAACAAATATTTTCATTACAAGGCTTCTTTGAAAATATCACTTCAGTGATAGGTCTGAAAGAAATCTGTAAAACTAAAGGATGATTAATTAAAAGGTCAAGCTTATGCAGGAGATAGTGCCATGTGTTAAGACATGACATGTGAACTGAAATGCCAAATTCATTTGATATAATGCCTTGCAGGGGCACCATTAGGACCTTTAATCTTCTCAGCAAGTCTTTATCAAGTTCATCATTACCTCTTTTTGAAATTCTGCTACAGTCAGGAATCGTTTCGTGATTAACTGCTTCCTGAACTGGATGCATTTCAGAGGACAGGAATGCATCGATCAGACGCTCCCAAGCAACCTGCGTAATCATCTAATAGCTGAAAACATGAACGAAGAATGCTTATGGTGATAAGTAGACGTTAGAAAATTAATGAAATGGTTCCTACAATAGTTGCATGTTTATAAATTTAAATATATCAGCGTATCCTTAAAATGAAAATAATTTTAAGAAACGCAAATGACAAACAGCTCTACAAACATGAACCGAGCTTTCTGCATACATGCATCACAAGAGAAAATTCAAGGATAAGACCATACTAATTTCACTATCAGGGAACTTAATCAACTATATTCATCTAACATAGCTAAACAATAACATAAACACCAATACAAATAATCTATACTTATAGTGACATAAAATCATATTAATAATACAAAAATGTTAAAAGGAAGAACAACCGCAAAAATGCATGTAAGCCTCACTAAAGCGTTGGACATGGCTAATTAGACAAAATTTGCATTTTATAGTTTAGCTGATACAAAATCATGATTTCAGAAAATAAGACCTTAAGTGAAAGAATATAATGAAGTTTATCTGGTTACCAGCGATGCAATCTGAACTTGTGGATCCACATCAGTAAATGTCTGCTCAGGGATTTTCAGCATCCGATTGAGAAGTTGTCTATTATTTAGTAAGCTCGGACCAAGTAAGCACACGTACCATCCCCAAGCCTGGATGATGCACGCCTTCATATGACTATTGTATTGCACGTCCATAATCCTTGCTAGTAAATTACTCTTCAGATCATGGGCTAATGCCTGTTATGTCATAATGCAAGTTTCTAATTTTTTTAAATGTGACATGACTGAGGAAAACATATTTAGAATAAGATAGCAGAATGCCTTAATTTAAAAAGAAAAAGAAGAAGAAGAAGAAGAAAAATGAATACCGTACTCACATTCAATCACATTTATTCTCCCATGCATAGCATGCGTCAATTCAAAAAGAAAAACTTCAGAAAATAATCCATAAATAGAAAAAATATATTGACTAACACAGGATACATAAAATCTTTCATTGGAAATCTTCGAGGATTATGACACCTTAAAATAAGCAATGTTCAAAAGAATATGAGATAATGTTGGATCAATAATTACAACTGCCAGCTGATTTTCTCAGACAAAGCAAAATTGATTTTATATAGACGCTAGAAAAAGAGTGATGGAACCTCACATTGATTAGGAAGAACAAATTTTCACTAATAGATTTTAGTGCAAAATTAGTTTGATACAATGCAGATAAATGAACCTAGAGTTAAACATTAAAAGAAAATAAAATCCAAGTTTCGCAAGTTTGGGCCACTTAATAGTTAGGTCACTAGTTCCAATTATTTAAGTCCATTAGTTCTTCAAAGTTTCATACATGTTACTGTAATCTGATAAGAATATTAAGTTGTTTCTAAAAAAAGATCCTTTTCTATTATAAGCACTTGAATGTAGGTCAATTAGTTTCTTTTGCTTTTCTACAACCCTCTTGCCAACACTTCTAGAAAGGTGGCATTGCATATTGTCTTATCCATCTCTAGAATATTGACGGTACAAGTACTATCTAGCCTAGATAGGAAAGAGAAAAAGAGAGATGATTCTGTACTTGACCCTTTTTAAAAAGAATATAGACAAAGGATAAGGAAATAAAGCAAATGCCTTATCATAACAATTTTATACCTGTATCTGCCTGGGTCAGATTGATCAATTCATCATGAAGACCTAAATCAAAGTCAACATGTCATTGGTTGAGAAGCTCCTTAAACCACCTACAACTCAATCTAGCCAATGGTACTTTTTTGCTTCTCCTTCTAACATAAATGTCGCCAATGGTACTTTTCTATTTTCGGGATAGATCATACCATCTAAAATATTTTCAATCTTTAACAATCAGTCTTCAGCTATGGTTGGATCACTTGCACCCTTAAATGCTGGTGGTTTAAAAGCTTGAAATAATTTTAAAAGTCGATCCACTTCACTATCATTTTCAGATCTAGATCCAGCGCTAGTAGAAGATTTCTCCATTGATGTCATTTTATTTACCACTTGTGATATCAATTGCACAATATCTTGAAGTTATTTAGATTTGTTTCCTTCATTCATTCTTGTTTAGATATCTGGCCGGGATGATTGACCCGTCATTCTTTCTGGCAACTCTTCAGACATAACTATATATATGCATATAGGTAATTCATACAATACATATACTCATTGTAATAAACATAATCATTCAAAGCATTAAATAAGCAAGTATGCTATTGTACTAAAATGAATGCACAATTCCAATAAAACTTGATTCAACCTATAGCTCTGTATATATCTCATCCTACTTCTTCTAAATCCAATTATGCTTCCATTTTATCTTAATTTGGTTATGATACCAATTTCTGTTACACCCCAATTTGACCTACCCCTTAACGGTCAATCTGGAGTATAATAGAGAAGGAAAATCTAAACCGGTTCCTTCATACTAACACCCATTCCAAGCTATTACTTTCATAATGAAGTAAGTGAAATAAATCTATTTAGACTCCCCTAATTTGCCAACCTATCTAATTTCATTATTAGTAATAGGAAGCATATAATGCCCCTTAATGAACATCAAATATAATTAAAGTAAATACAAAGCTCTATTAAAACTTTTAAAATTCATTCACATACCCAAAAGTCTGTACATCTAGCATTCAGATCTCTTTGCACACCCAAAACGTATTTACACCAAAAGAACGATCACCTCTTTTTATTGTCCCAAGGGCTCCTTCCCTTTCCTGCAGTACAATCACTGCTAATGAGCTAGGCTCAATGAAATATACAAACAATTTTTAAGAAATAATGATAAACAAATAAGAAATGCTTAGCAATGCTAACATAGTTAAAACACATATTGAAAGGTCATATTGAACCTAGAAGTGCTTAGCTTAGCAGTATTATTCATCTTAACAAAACTGTTTAACATTTTTAAATAAGTCATATAATAGCTATAAGTTTTTGCACCTTTTCAGCGTTCCAATTCAAGGTTGGGTCTAACTTCCCAACTTTTTAGAATGGAAATTGTTCTCTCATTCAGGGTTGAGTCAAATTTCTCAACTTTTAGAATTGAGAGTGTAGGCTTACCTCATTAGGTCTTTCGCATTTACTTGTGCGGGCCTATCCCCTATATATAACTTATTTCACTTTTCATATAGTCATCCTTTTTAGCCCTAATGACATATGTTTTTGATGACTTAGTTGCGCTTTAGCTGCTCTTCAGGTGCCCTTTAACTGCCATTTAACTGCCTTTTAGTTGCCTTTAGCTGCCATTTAGGTGCGCTTTAGCTACCCTTTAGCTGTGCTTTAGCTGCCCTTTAGTTGTGCTTTAGCTACCCTTTAGTTGCTCTGCCTTTAGTTGCGCTTTAGCCACCCTTTTTCTCATTCATTTGTTTATGAATATTTATCCTTTTAGACTTATGAAATCATTAACATTAATAAAGATTACTCTCTACATAAACAATTTCATACATATTCGATCATGCTCATACAAAATAACTAAAATAAATTGAAATGCATATGGTCATAAGCATAATCAAGATGAAGTGCTATAATAAAACATTTACTAATTCTTATAATCTTGGTTGGCTATCTCATCTCGTTAAGAATTTGTTCTCCTAGACTTTGTCTTTCTTTTCTCTTGTAAACAATCTCAATTAAGTTCCTCTTCATTCAATAATAATCCTTTTTTTTCTTTTCCTATATCCAACAATCTATCACAATGAACTCAGCTATCACCAACTGATTTCAGCAAACATTATTACATTCCATCCTTTTTAACCATAGATTTCAGCAAAAGTTCAATTTAGTAATTATAGATTGTTTTACCTGGACTTTATCCTCTCAACTGAGCCTTCACGAATCCTCTAGCACCCGCTCACAACAGCTTAGTAAACTCCAGATAAACTTATATGTGGTAAAAAAAAATTGGGAATGAGAAGTGAACTAAAACCTATTTTATATCTCAGTGCTCTTTTCACTTAGTCCACCAAACTCACCCTTAGTCGTCAGATTGCAGCATGCCAAAATCAATCCCTTGCATGCTCAGTTTAGTGGAATAGCTATAGTAAAATATATATTAAATAAATGACATGCTACAGTATTATCCACTATCTAATTAATTGTTAATTAACTAAGTTGATTATTCTATTAAATAAATTTACATCTATATAAACTTATAATAAAATAAGTTAATATTTAGAGGAAGTTAATACTTATATTATTTTGATCATTTTGAGGGCATTATAGCTATTCACCCAAGAAATCGACTCCATGGACTAATTGCTTACAAGCTGACAAGGGGTTCATTGCTACCTTCAAGAAAACAACGGAGATTACTCTCCCTCATCGCACAATAAAGCATCAAGCTTACCCATAAATGATATTTTAATGGAGATTGCAAAGGCTCAATCACCGCAAAAATTTAAAATGAGTGTAATGATTTCAATCAATAATCTCGTTTTATGTGTTGGCAAATTAACAAAGCTTCAGACGTTTCATACATTACATTAAATTTGTTTACATAGTCTAATTAAGTGTTAATTATGATCAAACGAGTACTTATCACATAAATAATGAATTTCAACTTAATTTTGATTCCATGAATTGTTTGCATACGATTTGACATATAGAAGTGAATGCTTTACCCTTTATAATCATTAAGTAATTATAAATTTAAAACTGCCATTAATCAGCTTCTCAAGAACACACATCCATAGAGCTTGATGGACCAACCCCAGCTTGTGCACGACAGGGTCTCATACAAAGGTTTGCGGCTATAGCCTTTAAGCCCAATTTGTTGCACAAAAAGATAATTTCAATTAGCAGTTGAATTCCTTGTGAGCTAGCAATTGGAAGGAGAGTTTTGAGGAGATTTTTGAGATGTTTATTGATATAATTAAATAGATATTTTGAGGTTCTGAGGGTATAAATACTGCATACGTATGACAGTAAAAACCAAATGGAGAAGTGAATATAAGAGCTTACGTGCAAAATCTTTCAAGTGGCTTTCAGGAATTTTTTAAGTGTTCATTAAAACAATCACCATCTTTTGAGGTTTCTGCTAAATTCAAAGAATTAGGGAGGGAAAATGCTGCCATTTTATTGCACAAAATTATTCATATTTATAGATCTATACAAGATAACTTAATAAAGAAACAAATAATTACATAACCATACATGATTGTCCTAATATAATCCTTCCTGAATCAGCCACCCAGATATGGAAGAACATCAGTGTGATGCAAGTGAGCCTCCGACGGATCCTCATCTTGACCATGGGATCAAATATCAAGGGACGTGATGCAAACCAAGGAGCTGGATATGATGAGCATACACATGAGAATAAAGCTCAAGACCCTTTGTCTCTTCCCAGTTGCCCAATTACAAGACTTAGAATCAAATATTTCAAGGAAGCACTAAATGGTTTGATCCAAAAAAATTGGACTGATCCTAAAAACTCCAACATGGACTCAAATTTTCAAAGCCTAGTCCATGTCATCAAAGAAATTGAGGAGGTTAATTAGTATGCATTTTCGTAACCAGCAAGGAGGTAATTAAAGAGGCTCATTAACAAGTATGTTTTTGCCAAGTTTCAAGAATATTAAATGGGAAATTTACTTGGGAATAGCTGGGCATATGTGGGAAATCATTTTGTAGTCTAGGAAGTTCAAATCAATGTTTAAAATTGTGCAATTGGGTATTAAGGCATTTTCTTTTCTTGAGGCGAGGTGTAAGCCTCAAAGCGTTTTGTGATGTGAGCCTCAAAATCAAAAAAATTGTGTAAAGTGCAAATAAAAATTAAAAGTAAATGTTTATATAAAAGATTGAAATAGTTGGCAACAATTAGAAAATAATATGTACTGTCATCACTTAGGGTGTATTTATTTGAGTCGTCATATAACAAATAGGACTCTCCCTTGTCTCATCCTATAGTGTCTAATACCTCCTAATATGCTTCTTCTTCATTTATTTCAGTCATCATCCTTATTCATAAATTATTTTCATCAACATAAAGATAAGATTAATACTAAAAAATTTTTAGAGGAGGTGGTGGTGGTGTGTTGCTTTCAAGTGATCATTGATGGTGGCTGCGACGGTAGTGGTCGTGGCAAAGGCAGTGTACTCGAGGTTGAGGTAGGTGAGAGGAAGTTATAGCAATTCAGGGGTGCATGAATGTGTGATTTATTCAGGGCTTTACTTAAGGATTTATTCAGGCGTGCATGAATGTGTGATTTATTCAGGCAGTGTACTCGAGGTTGAGGTAGCTGAGAGGAAGTGCATTGAAACAATCACTATCCTTTGAGGCTTCTGTTAAATTCAAAGAATTGGAGAGGCAAAATGATTCCATTTTTTTGCACAAAATTATCCCTATTTATAGATCTATATAAGATATCTTAATAAAGAAACAAATAATTACATAACCATGTATGATTGTCCTAAGATAATCCTTCCTAAATCAGCCACCCAAATATGGAAGAACATCGGCGTGATCCGGGTGAGCCTCCCACGAATTCCTATCTTGGTCGTGGGATCAAGTATCAAGGGATGGAAGGGATTTAACAAAGATCAGGATGATCCAGGTAAGCCCCCCACGAATTTTCATCCTGGCCGTGGAATCAAGTGTCAAGGGACAACTGGGATTTAAAACTCCCCCTCAAGCTGGGGAATACAGATCTATCATTCATATTTTGATAATTAGTCCCAAAAAAGTAGAGTTATCAAGCCTCTTGGTGCACTATAGAGTCCTCCATTTGATCAAAACTTTGGGAGAAATTAGCTTCAGATATTGTGGTGAGAAATAGAAGCAATGAAGGCTATATTAAGCAGGACAACAATGAAGGATGTATTGGTTATATATAGGACAAGAACCGCAAGGGAAGGTCGGCAATGAAGGCACGACAACAGGAAAAAATCCTATTTTTAGGGTTGTGACAAGCTTTAAGACAGCAGCAGAAAAACAAGTCTCAAGCTGCATAGCTATTGGCAAATTTCATCTTGTTCGATCTAGCCAGCCTTCAAACCAATGCAAATTAGTCATCCGACTCCACCCGAACACTCCTGTTCGATCGACCCCGTAGGAAGTACACGCAAGGCCTCAAATCCCTCTGGTCTGATCAAAGGTCTTGCACTCTTGCTTGTCATTGAACTCTCAACTCTTTCCATACGCAAACAAAAGGTCTTGCACTCAACTTCTCTTGCTTCTTGTTCGATCGACTCTAGACGTTGCACGCGAGAGGAACTCTTGCTCAATATTGTATATTTCAAATCCACTAGAATTGTATATTGTATATTTCATTTTGTTTTATGAATCTTACGCCACTTATATTTTAAAAATGTCTTATATTATTCTAATTCTTGCTACTTTGCAAGAGGTCTACCTATCAAAATCAAGTCATCTGCAAATAGCATACACCAAAGCACCACATGTGATATATATGGCAACCGCAAAATCAGCAACAAAATGAATTGCAACTAACATGATCAACAATATGCAAATAATTAGGCAAATCAACATACAAGCATCAACTTCAAAAGAACCTCTAGTGTAAAATCAAACTAGAAATACATATTCCCAATAGAAAATAATTTTTTGGAAAATTTTTATTCGGTATTCAGCGAAAGAAGTGCAAGAACAACAGCATCTAATCAAATTATGTTCAAAGACTGCAGAAAAGGGGGTTTTAGGTGAGATAAAAGTTAAGGTAATGTCATGGGAAGAAAAAGAGAAAGGTCACACACGCATGGAGAACCTGCGGACTTCTGGATTAATGTTGAGCCTGAAAACCAGCAAATTCTTCACTTGTAGGAGAAAAAAATTAAAAGAAACAAGAAGACGCAAGGATAGTAATTGTGCCATCATCTAAAGGTTAAGAAAATGAAACGTATCATGCCCTTCTTGTGATTCCGTGCTGCCTCAACATATATAAAGAACTTACTCCTTCAGTTCATGGAACCAAATATCCGTGAAATGAAACTAAGGATTTCTAAGGTGTTGCTTTCTAATAAGAGCATAAATAATTAGTAGAGGAAGATAAACAAATATTTATATGATCCTACTTGTCCATTTATGGGAAAAAACTCAAACTTTAAAGAAAGTATAGGAAAAGAGAATATAAATTCATATAAACTAGAAGTATATCATCATAGGCATATTTTGTTGAAGGCTTAGAAGAAAACAATCATAATGAGTACCTTCGAAAGAGCTGGTGGAGGAGGACATATGATTGACTTCATCTTCATAAGGCATCTTTCTGTTATATCTCTTTCCTTCTTATCATAGCTTACAAGTCTTCTATATATAGGTGGAAGCCACAAGTTTGCAATCTCCCTTAATTTATTAGGGAGTTGAGTAGCTATTTTCATCAGAGCCTTTGATGATGATACAAAATAAGAGACATATAAGAGCACATAATTGAAAGAGATACGTTACATGGAGTCGAAAATTTTTATTTTTCTGATAAGAGAAAGACTGTGGTACATGAACTAGTAAATAGCAACATGACAAACATGCATATTTTGAGGCGAACAGACTTGCAAAATTCTCATTCAAAAACAAAATATCTAAGAATGATTGCAAGTTTTTATGATAGTGCATTATCAGATGACGATTCATGATGCTCAATAATTGAAAAAAATCAACAGCCATCGAAATAATACATAGTATCCAAACAAAATCCTTATAGACATGTCAAGAATAAGGTTTGTGGATCATGAATCTGACAACTTTTTTAGACTCATTGTGCCCCATCCAAAGTCGGCTCATTGAAATATAATGATATGCCTGTCAGAAGAGCAATAGCCAACTTAGGCTAGGGCATCGAGCTTAACCTTGATGCCCTCTATGTCCAAGAGCCAAGGAAATCTAAGGAGTATATGTTGCAAGCCCCCGAGAATACCTGAAGTTAAAGCCCTGATAGGCATCAGATGATAGTGATTGAGGCTTTAATACCAAGTCAATTCCAAGAAGATGTAAAGAAAGAAAAAAATGAGATTAGTGCCCAAATAAGGTGAACAATGAATGGAGTATGTTCTAGAGCTGACAATGTCTGATTTGGAAATGATTTTGATATTTGGAAATATAACTTAACTAACTAACTACTCTAAATAGAGTGATTACTGTCTTAACTTCACTAGTTTTAAATATAGATAATTAATAACTAATTTAAATACTTAATTAAAAGCAGAAAATCGTGTAAAATAGATATAGATGTTAATAATTAACAATAAATTTTTATTAAATTGAAATTGAATTCTCTTATTTTAAATAAGGTTTTTAGCATTAAAAGGGGAAAACCTATTTGTCCTAATTGAATAAGCATTCAAAAAAAGGAAAAATAGGCCATTAATGAAAGAAATAAAATCTTAATTTCTGTTATACAAAATAGGGTTATAATTTCAATTGACCGTATTTAATGTAAGACGCATACTCAAAAATTTTCATAATCCTTTAAAGCAACTAAGTAATTTTAATAATTAAAACTAATCTTAAAATAGTTATTAAAAATATACAGCATGCGAGTAATTGATGAATTAATCTAGCAGCCAGTATTAGACATGTAAGTCCTACTGAGTTTTATAACTCATAAAGTATATTTAAAGTAAGAAAAAATTTGTAAATAATTATATTTTGAGAGTACAAATAATATTTAAAATAAATTTTTTGATATAAAATAAGAATAATTTCATGCATGTCAAATTAAGTATATATGTATATAATTATGAACATATTTTGAGCAACTGCTTCTTGTAAGGGCCTTCGTGGCCAAGCGGGCTATATAAATACATATTTGAGAACTTACAGCCCCATATAAGTCTGATATGAGATATTAATGATTTGTAGCATCAGATGATAGTGATTGAGGCTTTAATACCAAGTCAATTCCAAGAAGATGTAAAGAAAGAAACAAATGAGATTAGTGCCCAAATAAGGTGAACAATGAATGGAGTATGTTCTAGAGCTGACAATGTCTGATTTGAAATTTAATGAAATGCAATAATTATGCATATACAATGAGCAAATTAACAGTGTAATAGGATAGGTCAAATCAAATCAGCCTACTGAGTTGATCTGGCTTAACCAGGAATCCTAACTAGTATGTGCTATCGCTCTAAATTAGAGAAATTCAATATTTCACTAGTCCAAACTTAATGAAATTAATCTTCACTAATTTTATAATTTTTATATTTTTATTTTCTTCTTAATTAAAAAGTCATTTAATGCTTGATTATTGATTTTGATATTTGGAAATATAACTTAACTAACTAACTACTCTAAATAGAGTGATTACTGTCTTAAGTTCACTAGTTTTAAATATAGATAATTAATAACTAATTTAAATACTTAATAAAAAGCAGAAAATCGTGTAAAAAATAGATATAGATGTTAATAATTAACAATAATTTTTTATTAAATTGAAATTGAATTCTCTTATTTTAAATAAGGTTTTTAGCATTAAAAGGGGAAAACCTATTTGTCCTAATTGAATAAGCATTAAAAAAAAGGAAAAATAGGCCATTAATGAAAGAAATAAAATCTTAATTTCTTTTATACAAAATAGGGTTATATTTTCAATTGACCGTATTTAATGTAAGACGCATACTAAAAAATTATCATAATCCTTTAAAGCAACTAAGTAATTTTAATAATTAAAACTAATCTTAAAATAGTTATTAAAAATATACAGCATGCAAGTAATTGATGAATTAATCTAGCAGCCAGTATTTGACATGTAAGTCCTACTGAGTTTTATAACTCATAAAGTATATTTAAAGTAAGAAAAAATTTGTAAATAATTATATTTTGACTCACAAATAATATTTAAAATAAATTTTTTGATATAAAATAAGAATAATTTCATGCATGTCAAATTACGTATATGTGTATATAATTATGAACATATTTTGAGCAACTGCTGCTTGTAAGGGCCTTCGTGGCCAAGCGGGCTATATAAATACATATTTGAGAACTTACAGCCCATATAAGTCTAATATGAGATATTAGTGATTTGTAGCTTCTTATTTATTTTGTTTAAATTGAGTTTTGTACTCAATCTTGATAATTTGATAAGTTTGCCTCATATTATTGGTTGTATATGTATAAAAATAAATATATAATTAAGATAATGTAAGCAAAATAAGTGCATATGAATATAAGCAATAATGATCAATGCATATTTTTATGTTGAAGTATAATGCCATGTAAGTCCTAGTGAGTTTTATAACTCACCTTAAGTTTCATTTTGTAGATGCTTTCAGATTAATTTGCAGGACATGAAAGTCATCGAAGATAAATAAAGACTTAGGATGCTTACTATTTCATTGTATTAAACATCTTAAGTTAATGTATAATACTTTCTTATATTATAAGAATTCCTTATTATACATCTTATGTATGTCGTTGTAATTAAATATTTATGCATGTATGTTTCAAATGTAATATCAGAGCACCATTTAAAATTAGAAAATATTTATGACATATTCATTATTACAACTTAATAATATCATATTTATAATACCCGCTAAAACTGTTGATCAAATAAGTCATCAATCCATGATAATGGGTACTTATTGTTGATAGTCACTTGATTTAAAGAACGATAATTTATACACAATCGAAAAGATCCATCTTTTTTTCTTCACAAAGAGTACAAGAACACCCTAGGGTGAAACACTGGGCCAAATAAATCTCTAAATCCAAAAGTTCCTGAAGTTGTAATTTCAAATCTAATAGTTCTAAGGTCAAAATTCTATAGGGTGCCTTAGAAATTGGTGAAGTTCCTGGTATTAAAGCAATTGTAAAATCTACCTCTAGTTTTAGTAGCAAATCGGGTAAATTTTTTGGAAAGACATTTTGAAATTCTCTGACTACATGCTCTCTTCAATAGAAAAATATGTTAAACTCATTATAGAAGTGGTATTTTCCTGAAAGAAAAAGTTTGTTGATTTGAAGGATAAAAGTTTAACTCTTTTCTTGAATCAAATTGGCCTTCCATGTTGATAACCAATCCATTCCAAGAATAATTCCAAAATCTTTAATTGGCAAAGGAAGTAAGTCGACAGGCATGCCATGTGATTGAATTATTATTTCACAGTTTGGATAATACATTCTGGTTTGAAAGTATCATCTTAAAGGTGTTGAGATAATGAGTTGAGTTTTATATGGCTGGGATTTGAGTTGATGTTTGGCAGCAAGTGTATTTGATACAAAAGAATGAGTTGATCCAAAGTCAAAAAGAGTATAGAATGAAACTTCAAAGGCAGATAATGTACCTTCCATAGTGGCATTTGATGTTTGGGCTTCTTCACTTGTCAAAGCAAACACTGTAGTTTAAGGATTTTAAGGCCCGATTTTATTGTACATTGTATCTTGGGTGGTCAAATTTTTCTTTGGAAAGTTGGAAATGAAATGAGATGAACTACCACAGATAAAACATCGATGATTTAACTTGTAACAATCCTCCACCTTATGCTTTCCTCCACAATGAGTGCAATTGATTGGGTTTGCTTGATAATTATTTATAGTTTGAGGATTAAAATACTTTTCTTTTCCTTATTTTCTCCTTTAAAATTTTGGTTATTATGCAGTCATTTCTCGGATTAACGTTCCCACCTTGCTACTTTACGTTCTTCAATAATTAATAGCAAGTTCCCCTCTACCACGATCTGAGAAATTCACAGTGATTATGATGGTAGTTGATAAGTTGATAAAATATGCTCATTTCATTCCCTTACGACATCCCAACACAATCGTTATAGTAACAGCAGCATTCATCAGGGAGGTGGTTAGATTGCATGAAATCCCAAAGTCAATAATATTTGATCGAGATAAGGTGTTTCTCAGTTAATTCTGGAGGGAATTGTTCATGCTGCAGTGTACAGTTCTCAACAAGAGCACCGCCTACCAATCTCAGACAGATGTACAGATGGAAGTAGCCACCAGAAGTTTGGAGACTTACTTGCAATGTTTTGTTTTAGAAATACCTCGAGTGTAGGCCAAGTGGCTAGTGTGGGCAGAGTATTGGCACAAACCTCTTACCACTCAGCTTCTCAGATGACCCCATTCAAAAAATTTATACGACCCATTCAAAATATTGTACGACAGAGATCCCCACACATGGTGCATTTTGGACAAGGGAGCACACCAATCTCTTCAGTAACAAAATACTTGGAGAAAAGACATAGGTGCTAGAGGAGTTGAAGAGGCACCTGATGAGAGCATAGTAGATTATGAAAAAGCAGGCAGATGAACATAGGAAGGACATCCAATTCCAAGTTGGGGATAAGATGTTTTTAAAATTACATCCTTACAGATAGAGGACGGTGGCAAACAGGAAAAACGAGAAACTAGCCTCGAAGTATTTTGGCCCATA